CTGCAAAAAGGACAAACGCTATTTTGGGCTGCATTAAAAGAAATGTCACTTCCCAGTCATGTGAAGTGCCTTTTCCCCTTGACTCAGCACTGGCGGCCCTCCTCTGGAGTTCCTGTGTCCAGTTCTGGGCATCACAGCCGAAGAAAGATGCAGACGAGCTGGAAAGGGTTCGGAGGAGGGCGACAGGAACGATCCGGGGACTGGAAACCAAGCCCTACAAGGAGAGATGGAAAGAACTGGGCATGTTCAGCCTCGAGAAGAGAAGACGGAGGGGAGATGCAAGAGCACTCGGCAAGTCCTTGAAAGGCTGTCACAGAACGGAAGGCCGGGATCTCTTCTCAGGCACCCCAGAGCGCAGGACATGGGATGATGAGCTCAAGTTACGGGAAGTCCGATTCTGGCTAGACATCAGGGAAAAACTGTTAGAGCAGCGCGAGATGTTCCCATGATGCAGCAGGGAGATTGTGGGCTCTGCCACCCTGGAGGCATCGGGGGGGGGCAACCAGGCAGCCCTCTGAGAGGGGTGGTCTTGCTGGCAGCCCTGCACGGAGCAGGGGCCGGACCCGGCGGCCCGCTGGCCCCCTCCAGCCCGCCTATTCTGGGTCCTGGGCTTTTGCTCGACCGTACATGGCCAAGAGAACTTCCCGGGTTTCTTGAGGGGGGTTAAGAATAAAGAACGGACTGCATAAAGGCGGAAGAGGGAGTTAAGAGCACAAAACCATCATCCAGCAAACGGTGCGTGCACACACCCGTCGGTGTCCAGGGAGCCGCGATCGAGGCCACGAGCGCAGCATGGGCCATGTGATATAACAAGGACGAGTCCTGCCTCCAGGTCATGCGCTCAGGTTGCGGAATGGACTATAAACAGATCACGAAATAACAGTAGTCCAAAGCTGAGCAAATGATGCCTTGTACAGCAGCCCGCCCCCCCCCGCCCCCCCCGGCCCGGTAAGTATCCATTGGCCCTTTAAGTTCTTTTCCTCCGTATCTGAAGCTGTTCCAATCCTGTGCCCTCCCACCCCATTTGAGGGAGAAGGAAACCCAGCACCTATTCATCTTTTAACCCCCTAATTACATGGTGGGGGGGTGATCGAGTGTGTTTCTGGGTGTTTGGGGTGAGCATCTTTAGTTGCTCACTTGTGTGTTTGACAAACCGTATATCATTCTGCACGGTACACCATTCTTCTGAGGCTTCCTGGCAAACCTCTAGATGTGTTGGATTACAGTTCCCATAACCCCCAGTCAGTATTGGCCATGCCAGCTGGGGATGCTGTGGGGTTGCAGTTCAGCACATCTGGGGGGAGCTGGACTGAGCATGGCTTTTGGGGGGCTTCAGTGCTTCCATTTGAGACTGTTTTGCAATCCCGAGGTGTAAGCGGTTTATAAATGCTTCCAAATAACTTATTTGGGGACCCTTCGCTAAGCTGCCACTTTTCTTATGTAGATCTGAGGGTCCCGTTGGCCCCCAGACCCTTTTCTCACCAGAGCCCCCAGGTGGAGACTAGGCCAGCCACAGCTTGATTGCTGCCCCGGCATGACTCCAAGCTGATGGGCCCTCCTGCACACTGCACAAGCCCAGAGGCACAGCAGCCCCTTGGTGATCTCCGTCTTTTTGCAGCTCAGACCTTCAGGAGCTGTGGGGGGGTGGGAGCTCCCTCCGTGACTCATGTTTAACTTGGGACTTTCCTCCCCCCGCAGCCCTGGCACTGCGAAAAGGTGAAGGAGCTGGAGTCAGGAGTCCCGCTCACGTGCGCGCTCGCTTGACCCCAGTCCCTCGCGCCTCGGAAAGGCCAACCGGAGGGTCAGCGAGAGCCCCCAGAAAGGGAAAGGGCTTACGACACCCTCTGCGGCCGCCGCAGCCTCCCCAGAGGCCGGAGAGCTGAGATCGCATGCGTCTCGGTCCGCTGCCTGACATTTGAGCCGCCTGAGGGATGAGGGCAGGCTAAATATACGCACCGCCGGCCACCCGCCAGTCGCCTCCTTGCCCCCTGCTCCGTGACACACGGCCTCATGCGAGGCCCGCTTGCCGCCAGGGTTTGGAACCGGCTGATGTGCCTTCAGCCTTCCTAAGCCTGCAGCCTTTCAGAAGGACCGTGCTCGACTCCGAGCGATCCCAGCTATGGGAGGTGTAGTCCAGCCCATCTGGAGTGCCGCAGATCAGAGGACCCTGGCTTCAGGCCTTGCTGCTGATTTCCCCTTTTCTCCCTGCTCTTGCAAAAAAGAAAAAAAAGTTTTCAAAACCAAGGCCTGCAAATGTGCCTCTGAACATGTGCAGATTGCCAGGTAATTGGGAAGCCTCTGGCTGCAAGACCCAGTGTTTCAGAGATTTATTTTGCATGTTGCATCCCTGTAATCAAAAGTTCTCAGACAGCTCATGTAGTGAAACAGGTTAAAAAGTCATCAGAAACAGGTATAAACACACAAACAGAAGCTCCGGCACTCCGAGTGTATCTCAGGTGCCTCGCACATGGTTTATCTGCCACTCACCAGCAGGGGGCGCAAACAAGAAGATGCCAGAGGCAAGTGCCCCCCCCCCACCAACTTGGAAACCAGCTTGCTGGGCAGTGCTGGCGGTTTTGGCCACTGCCCCCTCCCCCGGCTCTGCCCTTCGTGTTCTTCATTTGACCCCGTCTCCTTATCAGAGCACGTGCCCAGGAGAGCAGCTGAAGACCGTTCTCTCTTGCTTTTGTAGGCTTCCTTGGCTTTGAGGTTCGGGGCTGGAGCCCTCCCCTCAGAAGCCCCCCTTCTGACCCCAGGTGCGAGAAGGTGGCGGCTCCCCCATGGAGCTGACCGGCCAGAGATGTGGGACCCGCAGAAGCCGCCTTCACACGGCCCAGCTTGGAGAGCGCTTGGAATCCACTCGGCAGCTTCCGTGGCTCCTGGTCCTCGTGGCTAAATGCTCCCTCCAGCCTCAGAGGCCATGTGCCTGCGTCCTCAGCTGCTGGGGAGCATGGGCAGGAGGGCACTGTTCCTGCTTTGGGCTCCTGGAGGCCGCTGGCTGGCCCCGGTGGAAGCAGGAGCCAGGCACATGGGACTCGGATCCAACCCAGTGTCAGAACCCGTGTGTTCTTGTGGCACTGGAATGGCAAGCTGGGTTTTGCTCACGGGGCTGGCTTCCCTCCACCCTCTGGTTCGACTTGCACACTCATTCTCTCTTTCCGCCGAAGCAGAGGGCCGCTTGCAAGAGGCCGTCCCCGCGGCTGAGCTGCCCCCATATCGCTGCACCGAAGCATCCAGGGAATCGGGCCCCTGAGCAGCCCTGTCTCCCCTCTCCCCCGCCCCAAACACCTCGCACCCCCGTACTTTCCCTGGGCTGATCCGGGCATGGGGGAGAGCAGTGGGTCCCCCAGCTCCATGGGGTGGGGAGCTGTGGGTCAGGGTGGGTTTCGAAGCAAGGGAGGAGCCGTCCTGTGGCGTGGCTTGAGCTGGCGTGGCCTGGAGGCCGTGGTGCCCCTGAGCCGCTTCAGACCCCGCTGGGAGTGGGTGCAGCCGGCCGTGTCGCAAGCTCCGTGCCGCGCTTTGGAATCGCGTGGATGCTTCCCTTGCGGCGCTCTCAGGTTGTCCGCAAACCCAAGCTCCGGGGCGCTCCAGTCCTGCGTGTCCCCTCGGGGCAAAGCAGCTCTGGGGGTCCTGGGGAGGGGGCCGAAGCATCAGGGCCGGCCCTCCCAGGAGACAGCCGCCCCCTCCCCGACAGCTGCCGTGCCCACCTCGAGGGGACAGCAAAGCGGGGCAGCGCCACGGACGGCCTTGCAGCCCCATCGCAGGGAAGGGGCGGGGGCTGCTGGCCTTTACGGCGCTCCTCGCGGGGGGGGGGGCGCAGTTGGCCCTGCTGCTCAGGAGGCGAGATGCCTCGGCGCAAAGGGCGCAGCGCTCTCCGAGGGGCACCGCGGGGGGCGCAGGCGCGGGACCCGGGCGGGCAGCAGGCTTCTTCCCCGCCGCCCCCACCTGGTGTCCCCCGGCTGGCGTCGTGACCCGCATCCCAGGGGGGCAGCTCGGGCGCTGGGCGCGCCTCCGCCCCGGTCCCCCAGCGCGCCTGGCCTCGCCCGAGGGGCACCGGGCGCAAACCGCCGCGAAGCCCCGGGCGAGCTGCCCGAGTCGGGAGTCTGGACTGGAGATGTGAAGCCCGGCGGGGGGCGAGGGAGAGGAAAAGCCGGGGGGGCGGAGGCGAAAGGAAAGCGGGGGGACCCTCGTGGGGCCAGGCCGGCAGGGGAGCGACTGAAACCGGCGCGGCTCCCTTCGTGCCTCGAGCCCGCCAGCGCAGCGCGTCCCCGGAGCCGCGGGCCCCGTCCGCAGCCCTGCTCCGGTCGGCCTGGCCGCGGGGGGCGGGGGGGCTCCGCGTCGAAGTCGGGCCGACAGGGAGGGCCGTGCGGGCGAGTCATGGCGCAGTCCCAGTCCAGAACTGGAGAGGGAGCTGGGCTGGGCGCAGGCGGCCCGGGCTCCAGCCTCTCTCGCCCTCCGTGCCGCTCCCGGGTGACTTTGGACCCGACTTGCGGCCAAGCCTACCTGGCAGGGTTGTTGTGTGCGCAAAGGGGAGGCGCGCTCCCCCGCGCTGCCCGCCCCAGGGAAGAATGGAGACGCGCGGAGCCCGCGGAGGAGGAGGAAGGGGGCTGCCCAGGGGCTCGTCCGAGGGTGGGCTCCCTGCGCGCGGGGGGGCCACGGGGAGCCAATGGCAGCGCGCGGGCTCCGAGGGGGCCCTGCGCCAGCCCCCGCCCCCGGTCCGCCCGCCCGCCCGCTGCCCAGCGCCCCGCACGCCGGCTGCGCGCCGCAGTCCCTCTCCGCCTCGGCTCGGCCGCCTTCCTCTTCGCGGCCCCGAGACCCCGCGCCGCCCCTCGCCTGCCCGGCAGCCTTTCTCCCCTCCTGCGCCCTCCTGAGCGCTTGCCTCCGGCCCCCGTTCCCTCCCCATCCACCCCCTCCCCGCCCTTCCTCCCCGCAGGGGAGTCTCGCTGCCCCGCGGACTTCGCCGCCGCCCCCGCACCTCGCCTGGGATTTAAAACTTCTGCCAAGGGAAAGGAAGCGCTCAGGCGCAGCATCCCTGCCGGCCCGGGATCTGAACTCGCGACCCTCCGTCCAGGGAGATGCCTACGGGGTTCCAGCAGCTGCGGATAAAGGAGGACGAGGAGAACGAGGAGGAGGAGGTAACGGGCTGGAGAGGAGGAAGGGGGCCTGGGTGTGGGGCAGGGCGAGGGTCTGTCGGTGAGCAAAGAGCCACGGGGGCAGTAGATCTGGATGGATAATTTCGGGCTCTTGCCCTCTGGACCTCCTGCCTGCACTGATGCCATTGCTGACACATTGTTGATATTTAAAGGTCCCGGATTTGTTAGTAGACGTTCAGACTCGGCCTCCGTGGTGAGCTGTGCCAGCACCTATTTTTACTCACTCCGCGCTCGGCGTGTCCCTGGTTTTGTGTCATGTTGAGGAGCCACGTGGGTGGGTGGCCGGGCTGCTCGGGCGCATGGGCGAGGGGCTGCCGCGTCGATTGCGTATTTATTTAACTCCATTTCTGTGCTGCCCCATAACCCGAAGGCGCATGGGAATACCTCAGCTCTGGCCCTGCTTCCACTCCAGTTCTGCTCCGGATAAACTCTCCGGGGGTCGCAGCATTGCACAAGACATGCGGCCCACACGCGCAGAGTGCAGCCCGACACACACGTTCTCGAAATGTGGTGCCACCTGAATCGGCTGCCGTCACGGGATGGCAGTCCCGGCGGGGCCTGATCTATGCGGATTCCATAATGGAGGGATTTACCAACACACCTGGATACCTTGCCGTGTACCTCCGGGGTTAGGGCGCAGCCCAGTGCGTGCTTAGGCAAGAAAACAACGGCCGCAGCGCTCGGCGCGCTAACGCCAACAAGCCCCAGTTCACAACTGGGCAATAAACCACGGATTCGCTTCCTGGGTTGGCTCTGGCTAGCAAGCAGGGCTGGGAGCCCAGCTGGGCTCTGGGGGCACGACAGCCCATGGATTACTCCCCCCTCTGAACCAGATGTGAGCCGCCCCCAGCATTTCCCATGGGTCCTGGCCAGTTTTCTGTTTCAGTGACGGGCAGCCGAGGCAGAGCAGTTCTGGCTCTTCTGAGCACCTTCAGGAACCAGGTGGCTGTTACGTGGGAATTGGCCACATACGCACCTGCCTGTCAACCTGCATCCTTCCATGCAACATAGGAACCATCCACAAAAGCACCGGCCTTCTGGACTCCTCTTACCCCAATAGGCACTTGTTCAGAGAACAGACGATATAATGCCTCAGTTACTCAGGTTAGGTAATATAATTTCTGGAGGTGTTATAATTAGGGAAGGCGCATGACCAAACCCGTCCATCACCATTGGTGACATAAAAGATGCGTATTTGTTCCAGCATGCCTTAAATTCATGCCGCACTTCACCCCTAGGATGTATTTAGACACATGCGAAAAGGTTTATAATTGTGCTGAACAGTACAGGAAATTACTGTTGTGCCCACTTTCCAGGTGGGAGAGTTGAGGCCCAGGAAGAGTGACTTATCCAAGGTGGCATGGGAAAAAAGACACATGGACCCAGAGGGCCAAAACCCACACTCCCCTCTGGCTGTGTGGGATTACAGCCCCCATCAAGCCAAGCCAGGATGGGTGCATGCCAGCTGAGATGATGGGAGTGTAGTCCAAGCTCTGGGAACACTGGCCCGGCAACCGGAGCACGCTGGGTCACGGAAGCAGTGGCTGGCGTCTTGTCCCTTGCCCTCCTCCTTCGGCTTCTCCTCCTCAGGGCTCCCACCTGCTTCCCCCCACACCTCCAGGTGTTCTTTAGACATGCACAGGTGAAACCTCTCGCACAACACATCGCAGAGGCCTTTGCACCGTTGTGCTGCGTGTTGTTCGGATGCGCACGAGTGTGCTGGGAATCGCACGGCTTGTGGAAAGGGGGGAACCGCGTGCGCTTGCAGCCTGGGCTTCAGGGAGGGCTCCAAGCCCTGGTGACCCTGTTACCTGGGGCAGCATGAGCACCGAGCCTGTCCTTTCTCCGGAGCTTGGCTCATGTGCACGTGTCGGTGCGTCACGCCCGTGTTTTACAGTTTCCCATGCACGAGCTCCACAGGTCCTTCCTGTAGTACCCAGAGCAGCGGCGCTTTCTCTGCGTCACAGTAGAAAATTCCTAACCTTTGGCACACCTTGCATTCTAAAAGCTTTTATTATTGCTTGGGGGGCAGTTTCTGAATTTAGGCATGGGCGAATCTCGCTGGGAGTTACTGGTCTGGAAGCCACAGTCTGTTAAAACTACTTGTGTCCAGGAATCCAGGGGGTTGTGCACTGGTGAGGGAAAAAATGCACTCTTTGCATGCTCAGGAGCACCAGCATCTTTCAAAATGCGACTTCATGTGTTGTGAGTACACAGTAGTGGGTAAATATTCTGGCAACATGGTTGAGCATGGCTAGGACCTTAGAACTAGGGGAAGGAAAGGGTGCCCCGATTTGGTCCCCCCCAGGCGGTTTCAGCCGCAACTCTCATCCTCCCCAGGGGTGCGGCCAACGATGGGAGCTGTAGTCCAGCCCTTCCGGAGGGCAACAGCTTTGGAAGGGCAGGCCCGAGGTGTCCAGAGAGTTCTGTTGCTGCGAGGACCATGCCAACGGAGACCCGAAGGCGCCCCAGGCAAGCTGCAGTCTGTGCAGGTCCTCGGCTCCTAGCCGCTCGCATGGCCTTCTCCGGAGCCCGAGAGCCGCTGGAAGCAGCGCCAGCTCCGGCACAAAAGCTGCCCTATTTGGTTGTGGCTTTGTCACAATTGCCCCGATCTCCCTTTCCCCAGAGTTACAGAGGCAGAGTGGGAGACGGGGGGGGGGGGTCCCCAGGGCTGCTGCCGGCCCTTTAAGAATGTGTGGAAAGCTTTCTGCTCACGGTGCCCACGAGAACAGGTGGTGCCCAGAGGGGGGGCACGGATGGGCACGGAGGCCGACGGACAGACGGCCAGCCCTGCCTCCCTCTCCGTTTTCACCCTGGGGGCATGGGCAGCTTTCCTTTTTAAAGGATCGTGCTCAGTCAGAGATGCTGGTCTTGTCTGTGGGACGGGCAGAGAAGGGGAAGGAGGAGGCGCAGAGTGCGGGGACATGGACAGCCCCCTTCCGCAGATGGAGAGCAAGGACGGGCCTGGCCTTGCCCTCATCTGCCGCGTCCTCGCAGATCCATGGCTGGCTCCCTGCCCCCTGCGGACCGAATCTTGGCTGTTCCAGTCCTGGGAACAGGCGGCCTTTGGGGACTGTGACTCTGCCCGCGTGTGCGGGGAGATCCCTTTTCATGCCCTCAGGTGGGCGTGCTCCTGGCCCCCCACCTGGACAGCTTCACAGGGGAGCAGCCCAAGGCCTGGGAGCAGGGAAGGCAGGCTATCGTGGATACTAGTCCTGCTGGCTGCAAGCCACCCCCCTGGCCAGAGTTCCTGCAGCCGATCACTTAGTGAGAAGCTTAGGGGACTGTGAGGTGAGGTCAAATCATGCGCTTGACGCGCCGGAAGCCATACCATGGAAGAGGTAACAATGGGGAAAGAGTACCTCTGAGCACTTGCAGAGTGCCTTTTAACTAACCTGGACTAGCTGGCTCCAAGGGGCAACCTTAGAATTTCTGCAGCCTCCATCCCGCATTTCTTTTATTCATGACATGCCTGTAGCCGAAGCTCCCTGGGCGGTCCCCCCCCGGCCCCCGATTTCAGCCAGGCCCGACCCTGCTTGGCTTCCAAGATCAGGCAGGCTCAGGGACTTGGGGCTCTGGGGAGGCCACATGGCACAGCCGTCCCTCTTCCTGTCCTTTCTGACACCTTTCCGAACCCTCTGGGTGAGGCAATCCAGCTACAGCCACATCGACGGCCCCAGCGCTTCGCCCGTGGGTCCCGGCAGGGCAGGGCAGGGCATCGAGTGTTTCCCCTGCTCTGGCCAGTTCCGCCCCGTGCGCTGCTTCAGAGTCCAGGTTCTGCTTTGCCCACCGTGGTCATGTGGTTGGGGAGTGGCTGGATTCGTGCGATGCCGGGAGTCGAGGGGTCCCACCTTGAGGGCAGCTCCGGCGCTTCAAAGAACACAGCGACCGTCTATTGCGACTGGTGGGGCGAGTTTTGTGTGCGTTGTGCTGAGTTCCAAAGGATTCCACAGGCCCCCGGGCACATTTCGGCGTTCTGGCGCATACCTGCAGAGATCTAAGTGGCTGGGGACCCAATTATCTGAAGGTGTGTCTCTTCCTGTAGCAACCTGTCCGGGCTGTTAAGACCGTCTGCAGCAGACTTCCTCCAGCTGCCTCTCTGTTTACGGAGAAACACTCCGGGATGGGCACGGCGGAGGACGGGCGACTGGGCCCATCCGGCACTGTCAGGCCATGCTAGCGTCTCTGCCGTCGGCACGGGCAAAATGGCAGGTTTGGGGGCCCAATCCCACGTTTCCGTCCTTCAAAGCCTAGGTGCCTTAGGGTGCATTGCCTTCCACCTGTATCTACGCACCTGGGCCCCAATGGCATGCCCTCTGCAAGCGCCCCGCCAGGATGGCTCCTTAAGTCGGGGCCTTTTCGGTGCTGGCACCGCCCGGGGAGCCCTCTGGCACAGCTTCCTTTCTGCTGGAGCGTCACTTGTGCTTCCTGAGCGGCGAAGCTGCCTCGCTGCCGGTTTCACGGTGTGCTGTTGCATTACTGCTCTCTTGTCATTTCATCTCTCCTATTTTTTAATTTTAACCCTCTGTACCATCCTGAAATCATTACTATGGGGGTGGCATTAAAGCCTAATGAATCGCACACGGATCCTTCTGTGCCCAGGAAAACCACGGTTTTTCACCCAGGCATTTGAGCTTGCTGCAAAGTTTTTCACGTTTAAGGACTTGCTTGCTGTTCTGTGGCTCTGCGATCTAATTCATTGTAATCCCGATAGGACGGAGGTGGCATATTAAGGTTGCCACTCTATGCATCTTTAGATGTGGGCGGACTCTCCCTCCCACCCTGCTCCAGGTCCTCCTCCTCGGCCTCAGTACTCCCCGTCTGTAAAATGGGACCGGAAGCGCTGAAGGAGTGAGGCTGAATCGAAAGGCTGTGTATCTTCTGCACGTCACCCCAAGTGCTGGGCCAGCGGGAAGGGTCTCGCAGTGCCAGAGCAACCGGGTGCGACCGCGCTGGGAGAGCGCAAGGACCTCAGTGCCCCGATCCATTTCGGCGGCTTTAGCACAGGGTTGGCCGAAGCAAAATGCATCAACGGCAAAATGTGGCCTCTGTGTGCAAGAACACCTCCCCCAGCGGCCTCTGGGCCGTGCCCCCCGAGGCCAACCGGCTGCCCCCTGGACAGCACCCGCAGGATCTGAGGGCCACCGCACTCTGCTGCCCATGCTCCCCAGCAAGCCGGATGTGAGGACGACTGCCTCTGGTTCTGGAAGCAGCTCAGAGCCACCAGGAGGAGCGGCCCGGAGAGCCACCACCTCGTCCTCCTCCAAGGATGGCTCCAATCCCCTTTTAACGCCATCCAGACTGGCGCCGTGAGTGATGACTCTGTCCTGCATCTTCTTCAGGGGGTGGAGAGAAAGAGAGAGAGAGTGTGTGTGTCTCCCTCTCCACTTTCTGCATGCCAGGCAGCACTCGGGGCCCTCCCTCCGTTCCCCCTTTTCTACCCCAGACAATCCCACAGGCCCCTCCCTGCCCTCCTCCCCACTCCCCAGTCTCCGCTCTGTGCAGCAACGACCAGGGCAGGGTGACACCAGTCCTTGCATTTATTGTGCCCTGCCCAGTTGCTTTTGCACAGCAGCGGCTCACAGAAGCACATGTGCTCGCTCGCTCGCTCGCTCTCTCTCTCCTTTTCTTTTAAACTTTCTTCAGTTTGATCTGACAGGAGACCTTGCTTTTCAACGAAAGAAAAGAAAAACCAAATCTTTCCAGTGTGCTCTCCCATCTGCATTTACCATCTGCGGCAGCAACGGGCCGAGGCAAGAGGAAGTGTCGTGCCGCATTTCTGTGTGTACGAATTCCTGTGCACGTACACCAGACAGTTAAAAAGAATCTGCCCCCCCCCACCAGCTACAGTTCTGAGTAATCGAGACCAACATGTGGAAATCTGGAACGCTTTCAGCCATGGGTGTGCATGTTAATTTTAAAGGGATACTTCCAACATCTGCCCCAGTTGGGACTGGGGACTGGGGAGGGGCAGGCGCTAACTGGGATCTGGCAAGAGAAAAGAGCACTTCCTTCCTTCTCCAACACGCTGTATTTCCCTTTTGTGCTGGAGGGAATTCCCAAGCCCAAAACATCAAACCTACAGGGAACCAGAGTGGCTGGAGATGCTGGAAATAAATAGAAACGCTCTGTCAGCAGACCGACGTACCGCAAGGATGGTTCCTCCTGTGGAAGCAAATTGACCCTCCGTGAGCTGTGAGCTCCAGTCGCTTCTCCCAGCGGACTGCTTCTCAAGAAGAGGCCCCCGGGCCGAATCTTTGGCAACAATCCTGTATCCCAACTGGAATTCCACTCATCTGACAGGCCAGGTGGCGGCTGCTCAAAGCATCAAGCACAGGCGCTTTGCATGTGCTCAGAGACACTCTGCCACGGCTTGGCCATCTTCAGGATGGCCCTGGGGCTCGGTGGCGCAGCAAGTTAACCCCTCCTGTCCGTGCTCCTCTGAAGGCGCCCCCAAGGGGCAGGAGGCCGAGAGACTGACCCTCTCCTTCCTGTCCCAACACGCAGGGAAGGCCTGGGAAGCTCCCCGGGTCAAGTCCTCCTGGTGTTTACATTTCTGCAGCTTCCCGGCTCCAGCACCATCTCCTAATATGGTCCTTTCGCGTCTGCTCTCGGCGGGTGCTGAGCCCGGTCGCCTTCCCACGGGATGCGGGGGAGTTCATACCAAATCGCTGGAAAACAAACGCGTGTTTTAGCCACCCGTCCAGGCCGGCGACCTCTGGCTCCCAACAAAGGACAAAGCGACAGCAGTTGCAACAAGCAGCCAGTCGCCTTCCTCTGCCCCCCTCCCGCCCCCCCAGCAGACCTCCTAACTGAGACCTGGTCGTGCTATGGAGAGATCTGGCATCAGAGTGCCTGAACTCCTCAGAAACTGTGAGCAGGGGCTTTCACCTTAAAAACAAGCAAGTCCCCCTCTGTGCCTACAAGAAGCTTCCTGGCAGGCGGGCATTCTGCAGGAGAAAAGCCCCTCTAGGCCAGGTGGAGCTCCACCTGCTGAATCTCCACCTGCTGAGAACTTGTGGAAAGAATCGGACAACATAAGGAGATCAGCCAGAAAGAGTTAACAAGATGGTCAGCACCAACCAACAAAGAACGGGCAGGGCAGCAATTGGACCCCTAGCCACTAGGCAGTGCTGCCTCCTTTGTCATGGCTCCCTTGTGCCTTCTGGCTGCCCTTTTCTGTCGTGCAATTCCTTGGAAACGGCCTCGCCCCGACATGCCAGGCCCAGAGGGGAAGAGGGAGGGACGACTTGACTCCACCGCGCAGCCTGACTCACTTCCCTGGGGGTGGACTTACCGGACGGACGCCTCCTCGTCGCTCAGCAAACCGGTCGTGATGGGCCTTGGAAGAAGAAGGGTATGTGAGACTTCTCTTGCTCTAGACGCCTCTAGATTTCGGCCGGCCGGGCTTCTCGCGGCTCCTCTTCCCCACGAGGCGCCCCAGGCCGGCTGCTTGCGCAGGGCGGGACCCCTCCGCCCGGGGTCGACGGGGTGGAGCTGCGCCCTTCCCAGGCGCGCCCGCCGAGGCTCCAGAGGCAGCTGGCACTGAGGCAGAGCGGGGGTGCCTCCTCCCATGGGGCTGCCCTCCCGTGCCCAGGAGGAGGAGGAGGAGGAGGAGGAGAACGGCCGTCTGGGCAGCGTGTGGACGCGAGCCGGGGCAGCGCCCGTCTGAGACGGCCAGCTGTGGCCCGGAAGCCGTTTCAGCCCCACGGAAGGCAAGACCGCTGAAGAGCGGCCCGGGGCCGGTCACCAGACAGAAAGGGGACGCATCTCCAGAAGGAGGAAGAGGCGGCGAAGGTCTCTGACACGATTCGGAGTCCCGCAGGAAACTGGGAGGACGTTTCTCTGCCGTTGGAGGTCAAGGATGAGGCCGCATCCAAAACGGATTACCGACGCCGGCCACCTTTGGCGCACCTTTGGCACCTCTCGGCCTCCACGCATCCTCTGTGCGCACGCCGCCCGAAGGCAGGAAGGCCGCAGGGGCTCGCTGTGGCGGAGGCGGCGTGCCAGCGGGGACTCGGCTCCCGCGGGCCCGCAGCCCGAGCCGCACGCGTGCCAGGGCGGAGAGGAGAGGGGGGTCTGCGGGCACGCAGCGCGCCCGCACCCCCGCCGACACAGCGCCTGGCCCGCCGCGCGCGCGGCAGGTGGACGCCTTCCCGGGCTGCCAGCATCCGAGCTCCGCGCGTCTCTTCCCAGGCCCCGCTCGGGCGGGCGGGCGGGCGGGCAGGAGGGTCCCGCAGCGTCCTGGCTGTCGCCGGCCCGCCTTCCGCTCCCCCTGGCGCGGCTGGGCGCGCTGCCACTCCGAGTGCGGAAGAAGGCGATAAGGCGCTTTGTCGCGCTGCGGTCAAATATTGACATGTCTCCTTCGGCGAGACAAGGCCGGCGAGGTGTCTGGGGGAAACAGAAGGGCCGGCGACCCCCCCGCCCGCCCGCACGCACCCCCTCTGCGTGCCGTGCCGTGCCGTGCCGTGCCGTGCCGTGCAAGCCGGGCCCCCGTCCATCCCTCACTCGGGGCACCCGCCGTGCCCTTGGGAGCGGGGAGGGCGCGAAACCGGGGGACGCGCTCCCCGGAGCCCCAGCCCGCGTGGAGGGAAGGCGTGCCCGGCCGCGCCCCGCGCCGCCCCGGGGGCTGCACGTGGGCTGCGCGGCTGCCCCGGCCGGGGAAGGGGCGCCTCCGGGCTGCCCCCGCGGCGTCCCGGCCAGGCGCCCCCCGGGGCCCGCGAGCGGAGGCGCGACGCGGACGGCTGGGACGGACGGGACCCCGAGCCGCGGGCGAGAGCGCGGGGCTGCCCGCCTGCCCGATGCGCGCCGCCGATAACCGGGCTTGCTTCCTCCTCCCCCTGCTTGCGCAACGCGCCGGGCAGGGGGTCCGCGGGGGGCTGGGCCCCTGCCGGCCCGCGCCCTTCCTGGCGCCATGCGCCCCCGCAGCCGAAGCGGCTCTCCCGGGGAGGGAGGATGGCCGGAGCCCAGGGGCAGCTGCCCGGGCGCCCCAAGGCAGGCAGGCAGGCAGGCAGGCAGGCAGGCGGGGCGGCTGCCCTCCAGGAGCAGGGAGATGGGCGGTGGGCGGCCCTGAGGGGCTGGAAGGAGGGCTGGGGAGCGGGCTCAGCTGGGGGCCATTCAGGGTTTCTGGAAGGGCACCAGGAGAGTGGCGCTGGGGAGCTGTGGATGCTGCGTGGGGGAGTGAAGGGGTCGCGAAACGGGGGGGGGGGTTTCCTCCCCCGGGGGGGGGGGGGGGGGGGGGGGGGTTTTGTGGGGGGGGGAGAACAGACCCAGGAGCTGCATTCACTCAGATCCACCTGGAGACCCCTTAGTTTTGCCCCTCTGTGGGCGACCCGCACAGCCCCCGCCCTGGTGCCATTCCCAACCTGCCTGGCGCTGAAGTGCCTGGCGATCCCCCCGAGCCGACGATGTGGGGTGACGCTGCAGCACAACGCCCTCTGTGCTCGCGCATGGGTGCGAGAATACCCTGTGCCAGAACACAAGTCTGCTTGTGCGGGGCCCCCCAGGAAGACTGTACATGGGGGGGCAAGCCCTCCTGCCCCCTGGACCCCCCCGTCTGGGGCCCCAGAGCAGCACTGAGGGGGCCGTCAGGCTTTGGAAGGATCGGGCACATGGGTGCCCTTGAGGGCAGCAGCCACCACACTGAGCCGGGAGACGGCGTGGCAGCCAAGTCACCTCCGCGTGCTTGTGTGTGTCCTTGCACAGGAAGGGGAGGAGGAGGCCGGGGGCCAGATCACGACCACCCTGGTCCTGTCCGTCTTCGCGGCCGTCTTGGCATCCTTGCAGTTCGGCTACAACATCGGCGTCATCAATGCTCCGCAGAAGGTATGGGTCGTGGGGCTCCCCCTGTGAGCAGTGCTGGGGCCGAAGTCGGGTCCCAGAGGGTGCCTCTGAGCATGCACAGGTCCCAGTCCTGAAGGTCCCTGGGAATGCTCCGAGTTTCCGTATTGGCAAGACGAGTCCCCCAGTTCAGAGCACTGGGAAATGGGCTTCCCTCTCCATTTTGCCTTCACGAGCCTCTGGCGATCGTGCCGCATGGGGCCGCTGGTGGAGGAGCAGCAGGCCAGGCGGCTTTCCAAGGGCCTGGCCGGATTCGTGGGATGGGAGGCCCTCTGCGGCTACTTGCCTTGCTGGCTATGAGCGGGGGCCCTGCACCCCAGCTGCAGAGGGGCGGGGGCAGGCGGAAGCCTTGTGGCCCTCCTGCTCGGGGGATCCGGGGGGCCTCGTCCGGCAGGGCTTTTCTGGCGTCCTTCGGCTCTGCTCCCATGTGGGGAAGGCCGCGTTCCCGCTCGGGAAGGACCGCTTGCCATTTTCTCCCGCCCCTGCCGTTCGTTCAGATCATTGAACAGAACTACAATGCCACATGGAAGGACCGCAATGGGGAGTACATCGACACCAACTTGCTCAAGACACTCTGGTCCCTGTCCGTTGCCATCTTCTCCATCGGGGGCATGCTCGGCTCCTTCCTGGTGGGAGTCGTCTCAGAACGGCTTGGCAGGTGAGCCTATTCCACGTGAAGTCAGGAAAAGATGAGGGTGTCTCTGAGCACGTGCAAAGCCCCGCTGAGGCCAGGTGCTCCGGAGCCCAACCCCCCTCTGCTCCCTGATTGCCACAGGGCGCCTTGCCACGAACAACGACAGGCAGCGGTCGGCTGAGGCCTGCGGAACGCTCCCTCCCTCGCCAGAGTAACCGCAACCAGCAGCCACAGTCTGGCAGGGAACGGGTGCAGGGCAAGAGGCACTACCCGTCGGTCAGCCCTGTCCGACCTCGGGCTCCGCAGAGCGGTTGGTTCATAAGAATGTAGGAAAAGCCACCCTGGCTCAGACCAAGGGCAGTTTGGGTACAACTGTTAGACTCGGCACAGTCTGCAGCTTTAGAATATTTACCTATCTCTCTATCTATCTATTTGTTTAAATTTTGCCTATTTTGCTAGCGCCCTCCCTAGGCTATCGCATTAGAAACTATAATAGAACATTATAGAATTGTTATATCACGGCATAGAAACTGCATGAGATTCGTCCAGGCTTGGTTCACGTCTCCGACCCGCTCGCTTCTCTTCTCTCTGCCCATCCAGGAAGAGGGCCATGATAGTGAACAACGGGCTGTCCTTTCTCGGGGGCGGTTTAATGGGCCTGGCAGAGCTGGGCAAATCCTACGAGATGATGATCTTTGGACGGTTTATGATTGGCACTTTCTCAGGTAAGAAAGCGCCGTTGGCGTTGCAGGTGGGGAAAGGGAGAGAGGGCGGGCAACTTGCAGGCCGACCTGAAACACAAGGGAAACGTTAGCGGGAGAGACACAGGCGAACAGGCTGGGGGTCATGGCCCAAGCGCTCATGCAAGAGTCTGAGGTGCAACGCAGGGACACGCCAGGTGGTCCCGAGGCCGGAAGCGCCCTGCGGCAGGTGCAGGTGGCCTGGGAGGGGCCCCAGCCCAGACCTTCCGCTCGAGACACACACCCGAGGCTGCAGACGGCGAAGCACGGGAGGCGCACGTGGGTGCCGGCTGAAGCTGCCCCGCCGCTTGGTGCCTTGCCAAAAAGAGGACATGCGCCGGCACAATGAGCAGGGGGCCTGGACTCGCGTGTGCCGGAGTGGCAGCTGAGCTGTAGTCAAGCAGAGCACCGTGGAGCGTCCGGCCACGGCGGGGAAATGGCAGCCGGGCGGCCCTCCAGCCCTGGTCTCCGTTCACGGGCGGCTTCGAGGCTCTGGGCAGCCACGCACTGAGGAGTCCCGTGGCAGCTGCTGGAGGAGAGGCCGGGCCCGTGCGTGGGAGCAGCCGGGCCCGGGTGCGGCTCTGGCACCTGCTCCCGTCCCAGGGGGCAGCCGGAGACCCACCACGTTCCCTCTGTTTCCCCTCCCTCTCCGCTTCTTTCCCCGCACCAGGATTTGCCTCGGGCCTCGTCCCCATGTACATCGGGGAGATCTCCCCCACCAACCTGCGGGGGGCCCTGGGGACGCTGAATCAGCTGGCCATCGTCATTGGAATCCTTCTCGCACAGGTAACGATCCTCCCCCCCCCCCCCGAGACCACCTCTGGCATGACCTTTCCTGGAAGCGGTTTTGGGCAGGGCCTGTTTGGCAGGGAGGGGGGAAGGCGCTGGGTGGACGTGTGCCAGGACTTAGAGCCGGGCCGAGACGGGAGGGGCCTGAAGGCCATCCAGCCCAACCCTCTGCTCTTGCGGGGCCCTGAGTCGCACCACCCCACTGAGAAGCGGCCCGGACTGGGAGGGGCAGCATTTCGGCAGGTGCTTGCGCAGCACAGATAATTTTAGCTTTGAGAACATGGAGATGCAGCCTTGCCTGGCTGGGGCCTCTAGGTGGTCTGGACTGCAGTTCCCATCATTCCCAGCCACTATGTGGAGGAAGGTTGTGGGACACAGGATGGCTCCAAGGTCTCTCTGGGAGTCCCGTTTAGGCGCTGGCGGGCGAGGAGCCCGTTGGATCATGCCGCCTCTCTCCTGCCGCAGGTGCTGGGGCTGGAGACCCTCCTGGGCACCCCCTTGCTGTGGCCCCTCCTGCTGGGCATCACGGTGGTCCCGTCCGTCCTGCAGCTCTTGATCCTGCCCTTCTGCCCGGAGAGTCCCCGGTTCCTGTACATCATCCGCAACAAGGAGTCCAAGGCCAAAGACAGTGCGTCCGCCCCCCCCCCCGTCCTGCCACCCCCCCCTGCCCTCTGCGGGCCCCTCGGCCACCAACCCTCCCCTGGAGCAGCATCCTCTGCCCGGCCTCCCCCCTCCCCCCCACACCGGGCGCTTCGTCCAGCGTTCCCTCCCTCCGGTCTCCACGCCGTTCCAGCTAGGCCTGTCTCCCTGGGAGCAGCCCCACTGTTCTCCAGCGAGGCTCTCTCCCAGACGATGCTCTCTCCCGACGAGGCACCTGGGCAGCAGCCGTAATCCGGGCCCAGCCCTCCGTCAGCCCCCGGCCCCCTTTCTTAGCCTCCAGCCTCTCCCCAGCCACGTCTTCGTCTGTCTGTCTGCACGGCCACCTGCGTTCTGCCTTCCCCCTCTCTGCCCTTCCAGCGCAGGGCCGGCACCGCCGATCACCTGGCCTCCCCCGCCCCCTTCCCCATCGCACCTTGCTTCGCCACCTGCTGGCATGAGGCAGGTGCCTGCTGAGCCGGCAAGAGGAGGAGGACACCCTCCGTTTCCCCATCTCCCCCTCCCTGCGGCTGCTCCCGCCTCCCCTGCCCTCGATTCCCAGCTGTCCCGCCCGCCCGCCCGCCCGCCAGTCGTGCCCACTCGGGCCTCGCGCCCGCGCACGCACGGGCACGGCCTCAGCAGCCCCCTCCTGCCCCCGCCAGGTCTCAAGCGGCTGACGGGCCTGGTGGACGTGAGCGCGGCGCTCAACGAGATGAAGGAAGAGAAGCGCCGCATGGACCTGGAGCGCAAGGTCTCCATTCCGCAGCTCTTCCGCTCCCGCATCTACCGCCAGCCCCTGCTCATCGCGGTGGTCCTGCAGTTGTCCCAGCAGCTGTCCGGCATCAACGCGGTGAGTCGGGGCCACCGGGGCGGAGGGGGCGGCGGCCTTCGCGGCCAGAACTCCCGGGACCTTCCAGCCGGCTTCACGGGAGCTGCATCCTGGCCGGGCCGGGGAGAGCCTTCGCGTGACGCCCCCCGCGCTTCTCTGCCCCCCAGGTCTTCTACTACTCAACCGACATCTTCACCAAGGCCGGGCTTCAGGAGCCCATCTACGCAACCATCGGGGCGGGCGCCGTCAACACGGTGTTCACCATTATCTCGGTAAGGAGCTGCAGCCCCTGCCGGACCCCCGTGCGGACAGACCAAACCGTTGCTGCCATCCAGCACCCTCGGACGTGGCGGGGGGCTCACTGCGGCCCCGCTGGGCCTGCTGCACAAACTGTGGGAGGGACCCCGCTTTTGGGAGCGGCCTGGCTCCCCCTCTCTGAAAAGTGTCATTCGTGGGGACGTCCCTGCGATGGAGTCGCCCCACCGGGGAACGAAAGGAGAAGAAATGAGCGCAGAGCAGCGAGGCCTCCCGCAATTTCCCGGGCGCTCTCTGCACTCTACTTCCTAGGCAAGGAATAAAAACGGGGAGCCCTTGCAGGGACGGGGAGCCCTCTCCTGCCCAGGGGCCCCAGAAGGTGGGTGAGGCCTCACCAACTCACAGGGAAGAGGGAGCCCAGGATGGAGCACAGAGCTGGCCTCTCGCTGGGCTTCCCTCCACCTAGATTTCCCTTCCCGGAGCTCGTTCATGGCATCGGCTTCAGCAACCGGAAACGGCTGGCCGCACCCCAGGCATCCAGCAAAATGCACTCTAGTCCATGAGAACATACACCTGAATATATCTGTTTGTCCTTGCGGGATCTTTGTCAGATGCATTAAGCATCATCCTCATTGTCAGAGAGATTACTGCAAGGTTAAGGGAGGTAAACATCGATCAAAGCCATTGATCAATGACAGTTCTATTTGGGCATTAAGTTTTATGGACCACAGAATCCTTTTTCGAATCACTATTTTGCACAGGTATTTAGAGAGGAATGTCCACCATAGGGCTAAAAAGTCACACAATGAAAGAGGCATTGTTTAAGTCGCTGGTGAAGAAGAAAATGGCTTGTGCGCCTTTAAAGGCTAAGAGACACCTGGCGGTATTTGCATAAAAATTCGCGCTGCAGTGCATCTGATAGCCTTCAAAGGCCGCAAGCCACTTTCTTTTTCTTTATTTGTAACTGAAGACTTAGCAAAACAACCTCAAAGAAAGGGATTGGCACTTTTCTTGCGGAAGACTCTATGCCGAGGTTTCATGCTTGCACTGGGCTTGCTCCCCAGCCCAGAGAGAGCAGAGCATTTAAGGGGGGTGAACAAGGGGGCGTTCACACGCCTGCTCTGGTTCTGTGGCACTAGGCAGTTTTGTTATGAAAAACAGTCGCATGCAAATCTGCATTTAACTCCTTTGCGAAATTTGCGTATTCTGGTACTTTTTGAACCAAGAACTATTGCAGAATTTGGAGAGGTGCACGATCTGAAAGGAAAGCAGCGCCAGTCTCTGCGTTAGTTGGAGAAGTGCAACTCAGATCCGTTTCCTTAAAAACGGCCATGGAGGGCATCGTCTCGGTCCCGACCGTCAGGCGGCATCCCGACAAGGCCCTGAGCGCCCTTCCCCACAGAGCTGCCTCGCGCGGCCTGGCTCGGGCCAGATGTGCTTGGCTTCGACTTACACCATGCCCCAGGCAGAGTGGGGGAGGATGGGGGCTGCAGTCTCTCGGAGGAGGCGTCCTCTGCAGCCAGCCCTGGCCTCAGCCTGTCTCCTTTCTCCTTCCTGCTGCCTGGCTTCTCTCCCTCCCTCCCTCGGGCTGCTCCTCCGCGTTTCCTCCCCGCAAGGTGTTCCTGGTAGAGCGGGCAGGAAGACGAACCTTGCACCTCCTGGGCTTGGTCGGGATGCTGGTCTGCGCACTCCTGATGATGACCTCACTTCTCTTGGCCGTGAGTACCTGAGCGGCGGTGGCAGCGCCTGGCTGGCCTCGGGCACCTGTCGCTCTGCCCAGCCCCGGCCTTGCTGGCGCTCCTCGTGGCAGGGGGCTCCGCGGAGGGCGGTGGGGGCCCGGCCAGGACCGGCGGGCCCTTGGCTTGCGGGGGTGCCGAGTCTCTCCCTCCAGGCAGGAGCGCCCCCCTCCCCGCATGGCCCAGGCTGCCCCTTCTCGCAGCCGAGGAGCTGACCCGTCCCCTTCTCCCCACGGCAGGAGCGCACGCCGGTGATGGGCTACCTCAGCATGGTGGCCATCTACGGCTTTGTGGCGTTCTTTGAGATCGGGCCGGGGCCCATCCCCTGGTTCATCGTGGCGGAGCTGTTCAGCCAGGGCCCCCGCCCCGCCGCCATGGCGGTGGCCGGCTTCGCCAACTGGACCTGCAATTTCATCATCGGCATGAGCTTCCCGTCCATCGCGGTGAGTGCCGGCCCGTTGCCAAGCGGGGTGGGGGGGGGGGGGGGGCGGGGGCCGATTGGCTTGCGCCACCGAGACTGGACGTGGGGACGCGGAATAATCAATTCCAGTTGCAGCAACCCAGATTCAGGCTGGGCATCAGGAAAAGCTTCCTCACCGTCAGAGCAATGGAACCAGCTGCCTGGAGGGGTGGGGGGCTCTCCCACCCTGGAGTCATTCAAAAGAAACTGGGCAGCCCTCTGAGTGGGATGGTGTGACGTGGTGTCCTGCGACAGCAGGGGGTGGACTTGATGGCCTTTATGGCCCCTTCCAGCGCTGCTGTTCTATGATTCTAACTCAGGCATATCTGGGGCACCCAGGGCCGCAAAGGAAGCATCTCATCTCCTCTGTCCAATCTTCTGTTTGCCCCCCGTGGAGCATCTCGGGTTATTTGGGGGCCTGCCACACGCTGCCCCCAAGGACACCTCGGCCCCTCGAAGCCTCCCGCAATATATTTGCTCTGCACTTCCAGGGGAAAGCCTCTTCCACCCCCCGGGACTCGAGCTACAGTATTGTTCCTGCTGACTGGCCAGCCACCTGGAGCAGAGCCTTGGCGAGCGGGTCCAGCCCGTCTCCCCTCCTTGCCAGCTTTTAAAAGCCCAGCGGGCCGTTGCTGCCCGCCAAGCACTCTGCAGCTATGCAGTGGGATAAAAAGCAAACAGAGATGAAGGGTCTCACACGGACGTGGCTGCAAAACCTGGCCAGGCACCCTGTCGACATATTCAAGCTATCCCAACGGAAACCTGGTTACTGCAAGGTGCTGTCCGTGCCCTTGAAGACAGTTCAGAACCTGCGACTTGTGCAAACGAAGTAGCCAAGCTGATAACCAGAACCAGGCAGCCCAAACCTCCCGTCCCGGCCTGCTTGCACTAGCTGCCCGCGTGTTTCTGAGCCCAGTTCATGGGGCTGGTCTCGATGGATAAAGCCCTCCCAATCACCCTATTCCCCAGTTAAAATAGCAGGAAAATAAAAAGCCTTTAGCCTGGCACTGAAATGCATCAAGGGCTGGTGCCAGGCACGCCTCCCTGGGAGCCGGGACCATAGTTCTGTTTAAGGAAAGAGGAGAACGGCAGCATTCCTGATGCGATCGCTAAAGATTTGCTGGTCGTAAGAGCATAACCTTGTAGGTTAAACAACATATAGTTCCGTGACCCCACTTCGCAAATCCTCACCTGGGTGGTGCCAGCGGGCAAAGGGACCAGCCAGGCCTCCGGAAACGGCTTGCCCGGCTCACGCAGCCCGAGAGTCTCGTGGCGGGGGGGGGTCTGTCTGAGTGGTGGTGGGCCGCAGCCACTCAGCAGGACTCGGGGGGGATCTTGCACCCCTCCCACTGGTTTTGATGGGCTTGTACGCACGCGAGCGGCTTTGCGGGGGACCTCGTCCCTTGGGTCTCTCACTCCGCCATCCTTAGCGGGATGCCCACTTCTGCCCCCACAAGGAACGGCGCCTCGTGCAGCCGCAGTCCGTGACGCTCTCCTCCTTTTTCGCAGGACGCATGCGGCCCCTACGTCTTCCTCATCTTCGCGCTCCTCCTCCTGGCCTTCGCCATCTTCACCTTCTTCAAGGTGCCGGAGACGCGGGGTCGCACCTTCGATCAGATCGCTGCTACATTCCGACGCACCCCGTCCCTGCTAGAACGGGAGATCAAGCCGTACACCGAGCTGGACGAGCTGAGTCCGGACGCCCACGAATGAGCGGGGCTCCCCCGCCCGGCGTGGGGGGAGCGTGGCCTGTAGACGCGGGACGGGGTGGACAGCAACGATACCGGGATCTGCCTAGCACTTTAATTACACCAGGCACGTGGGGTCTGGTGTGTAGCGAGAGTTGAACCTATTTTTTTAGGTCAGGTTTTAGACTGGGTGCGTTTTAATTGCTTTTCTTGCATTTTGAAAAGAGAGGAATGGTAATTTAATAAAGCTGGGCAGGCGGGGGGTGCACGAGGTTATCCACGAGGGGTCTGGGGGACGAGGAGCTTGTGGCACGGAGGACTCGCCGGGGAGCACGGCAAAGGAAGGATCGTGGGGCCGAGGCAGGAGCGCGTGCCGTGTATTCCCAGAGTCCAGGAAGCTGGCTGCGTTGAAAGCAAGGATGCCGCTCTGCAGAGAGGGCAGGTACATGGCTGGAGACCGGGAGCCAAGTCGCCCCCTTGCCATGTCGGCTTTCTGTAGATGTGGCTGGTTTTAATTTGAGCCGCGGTTGCACCAGATCGCAAAGCAGGGCTTTGATCTAGCATGTGAGCACTCGCAACCATGGAGGGAGTGCCCCAGCCCACGCGCAGAGTCCGTTTCCCCTCCTGCCTGCCGTGGCAGCCCCAGCCATGCTGCACTCCTCTCGGAGCCCTCCCCGGCCAGAGCGGCGACCCGGGCCTGGGCTCGGGGGCACCCTCTGCAGCCACTGTGCTCTGCTCAGGGGCCCCAAGGCCTGGTGCCCACCGGATGGGCCGGGCTGCAGCCGGAGACCAGGCGCACCTGGTGAGGAAGGCCGCCTGCCCTGTCTGGGCGGACCGTCCTTCTCCGCACACGCAGGCCGGCCCGGGCAACGAGCAGCTTGCCACTGCGGCCTCCCCGGAGCCACGCCGGGCTTCTTGGCGACACAGCGGTCCTTTTTTAGAAGTCCTTTGAGCTCCCGTCGTTTTGCTGCCCTCTCTCACTGGCCCACTGCTTGGACGAACCGCTGGGGGGAAGTGGGGGGGGGGGCGTGGGCTTTGCACAGGGTTGGTTTTGTAGCAGGGTCCTCCAAGCACATGGCATGTAAGTCTGGATTTTATGAGGCCGCAGAATCCAGACTTCAAATCGTAACAAGGAGCTGCTTTTGGACCGATCCCGTTTTAATCATTCTTCAGGGCTTTTTATTTTGGCAATTTTCCAGGCAGGGTTAGGAGTATATGGTGGAATTTAAAAGGGCTGTACAAGGACTGCATTGCTCTGTATAGTTCTATTATGCACCCATGCCCCACAGAGTGAGGGGCTGCAAGGAGATGCCAATGTTTTCCTGGGAGTTTGAACTATGCAAGGCATAGAATTTGCTTGTTCTATGGGCATAGAGCGCGGTTGTGTGAGCATGCATGTAATTGTATATTTTCAGGAATATTTGTATATAAAGAATAGGCTACTCTGTGGTTGTCATTTGTTTAACCGGCATCCACTCCAGTTCCTAATGGCTTAACCAAGAAAACGACTCCAAGGAGCAGGAAGCTCCAGAACACAACGGGAGGCGGACGGCTCTTCTCAGGCAGCTTTTGTGTGTTTCCCTTCCAAAGTTCTTCCACTTGAACGTGGGAGGGGGCCTGGCGGAGCTTCCCTGAGAGCTTTCCAGCGATTCTGAGCTCCCTGAAGGACAGTTCACATTGCTAACGGCTCTTGCACCATTCCAAGAGTTTCTACTCCATCTCGTGTGGTGCTGTTCTTGCCAGCGCAGATTTTTTGAAACGCTTCCAGAGGAGCCAGGCCGAGCGCAACTGCCCTGGCCCGACACACTGCGGCCGTTCGCAGCGGAGAGCGTGCGGGACGGCTGGGCGAGAGCCAACGCCGCTGGGCGGACACACGGAGGCCTGTGTGCTTCAGCAGCCCTTCCAGGGAAGAGCTGACCCAGGAGCCCCCCGAGTGGCAGGCAGCGTGCGCGCAGCTGGGCTTCCAGCTGCAGCCCAGCCCAGGGGCCTCCGGCTTCGCCACCATGCCTCCCGCCCACCCCCAGGTGGCCAAGCAGAGCCCGCAGGCCCCCGCCCACAGTTCTTAGGAACTGGTCTGGCAGAAGCTGCAGCAGCTGGACACACTGGGCTGGAACTCGGCTCTGGCAAACTGCACGTTCATCTGGCTATAAGCTGTAACCAACGATCGTCTCCACACGCAAGGCTGGTGACCGACTGACCTTCCTCCTTCTTGAGAATTCACACCCTGGCGGAGCCGTGCCAGCTCCCTTCCGAGGCGGCTGGGGCAGAGTCCAGCTGCAGCACCAGCGCAGTCTCCGCGCACAGCCTGAGCAGTGGCGCGCCCGGAGAGAGCTCTGCAGTGGCGCGTTGGCCGGTATCCACACCGGTCCCGGCCGTGTTGTAATGGGGACGGGGTTTCGGGTCGGGCTACGCTTCCCCCAAGAATCTCTCTCCCGCCCCCTGGGCCCTCGAGCAGCCGACAGGACCTCCCTGCGAGAGAAGCCGCGGATGCTGTGTGTGAGCAAGGACAGCCTTCAGGCCTGTCTCCCCCCCCACCCCCCGCAAAAAAGGAGACGCTCCCTCCTTTTGAACGCAACAGCAGAACTGAATGGAGCTCACAGCACCTGGGCACCAAGCGCTCTGCACGGCAGCAGCACAGGACAGAACAGGATGGGGCTCGCACTGTTGCTGCCACGGGGCACCCAGGCATCAGACACCCCTGCCAATCCCCCCCAGAGACCTCCCCGTAGACTGCCGTCGCGTGCCCAGCGACCCCGGGTTTCAAATACCATTTACTTCTCAGCAGGAGACACAAATGAGACACAGGTCTGTGCTTTTTTCTTTTTTACTGACGCCCAAACTGCACACAATGGTTCACACGGGGTGTTCTTCAACAATGGGGGGAAAATTAACTGAAGATTCAACAGCCAGTTTCTTTTTTTCTTTTTCAAACTGACAAAGCTGTGGGAGGGGAAGAAAACCCCCTCAGAAGGTTTTTAAAGAAAAGTGACTTTTTTGGTCAAGTTCCCCCCTCAGGTTGATTTTTTTTCCTACATTCAGGGCTTCAACAGCAGCAAAGGGGGTACTGGTGAAGTTTGGGGTCTCTTCAAGTGCAGGATGAGGTAACTTGGGTTGTAGGCACATTTGTGGACACCTGTAAGAGGGGAAATGCGTAGTAAGCGGTTGGAGGCACCAGCAGCTGTGCAGACGGCAGCTGCAGACCAGGGTTTCGGGCTGTTCCCACAAAGTCTACAGCCTCGAGCAAAGCCTGCTGCAAGCGCCTTGATACCGCAGGAAGGCGAGTCCTGCCGTTTCTGTCCTTACAAGAGCTCTGAGAAATACGGTGGGAAGGAGAAGGGAGCGCAGTGTGAACCTGCCGCCGACGGGCTCTTGCCAAGAGAGATTTCTGCCCCTGTAAGGCAAGCTCCGAGGTCCGGAGGATCCTTTGACAGCCGTGCAGCAAGAGGCTTGGCAAGTACGACTTTGCACGCAACTGATGCCGTCAAGAAGAGGGTGACGGCAGGCCAGGGCCCAAGCCCCCTGCCCTTCCGTGTCCCTCCTGGGAAAGAGCCCACCTACGCCAGGGATGGGACATGAGCGCACCGACTCGGGAAAGTCTGGGGAGAACCAAAGAGCAGTTCCAAAATGGGGAGCTCTTCTGGAAGAGGCTCCTGCCTGACAGCCCAGGTTCAAAGCATTTCTGCTCCCTCGGGCCAGTCTGACTCCCCGGGCCAAAGCACGCCACCGCCAGCGGCTGCCAACTCCTTTGGCAAAAGGCCACACCGACACGCCACAAAGGCAGGCAGCCGCCCGCCAGGCTGACACTCCCGCAGAGGCCTGCCTTACCAGATCACAGCTCTTGGCATCCCCTGACCGTGTGCGGATTCATCATGCCAGCAGGGCTGGGGCAAGCTCTCCCCCCGGCTCAGGTGTCGAGATCTGCAAGGAAACCCCCGGCTTAGGGCCACGCACAACGCAGACGAGCCGGAGCTGCGGCGGAGGGCCCAGGCAGGGCTGCGCTTCCCGAGCCCGGCTCAGGACAGACCTCTTGTGGCAGGCGGAGACACGGCAGGGCGCTGGGCGGGCGGGCGGCCGTCCCGCCTGACAGCGGCCTGCGCTGCAGAAGCGACCGGGTGAGGGAGGGCCAGGGAACCGAGGGCCTGGCCAGCAGCCTCCACTTACGTCCACAAGCTGTTGCTGGATCTCCGGCAGTGGCTGGGAGGGGCTCTCCTGGGCTGGGGGAGCAGGCTTGCTGGCTTCCACCACGGCGTCCGGAGCCATCGCAGGAGCGCTAGTGGCAGGGGTGTCTCCGCCAGCAGCGGCGGAGCTGGGAGCAGGGTGCTCCTTGGCAGCCGTGGGAGCCTGGGGCGGAACGGAGGACAGCCGTCTTAGCAGAGAGCCGAACGCTCCGTGCTCGCGACAAAGGTGCTCGTCCACGGGGAGTCGCTCCTTGCAACCTCCCGGGAACTCGCTGCCTTTTTGCAAATCCCCTTCTGCAGAAGACGCCCTTCCTTACCGCACCGCTGAGAGCCAGCGTGGCATCGTGGTTAAGAGCACGGGACTGGGATTCGGGCGATCTGGGTTCCAGTCCCCGCTTGGCCATGGAGCCAACTGGGTGACTTTGGGCCAGTCACAGACTCTCAGCCCAGCCTACCTCACAGGGCTGTTGTTGTGAGGATAAGATGGAGGAGGAGAATGATGTAAGCTGCCTTGAGCACTTGGTAGGAAAAAGGCAGGATATAAATTGGGGAAAAAAATAATCACGGTCTGCACCGTTTGTGTTTATTTAGATGCGCTACTCTGCCTTGGGCCTTCCTGTCCATCTCGCTTGCTGAAACCCATCAGAATTTGGGGTAGGAGCAGTAAAACAAGGCAAGGCTGAAGGGTTTCCAGCAAGGGGGGGGGGGGAGAGGAGAGAGATTGTGTGTGTGCCCGTCCACGAGAGACCACGCCGCCAGCCCGCGCACCTTGGACCTTACCTCCGGTGCAGTCTGGCGGGCTGCAGCTGTTTGCTGGCGCCTGCGCTGGAAATAAGGCCGGTTGCGCTGGCGCTGGGGCTCAGGACGGATGCCGTCCGCTGGGGCTTGTGCCGCTTTTGTCTCGCCGTCTCCTCCTTCCGTGGTGGGCTGCTGCGGTGGGCGGGGGCGGAAAGGTCTGGATGGGAAGAAGTGTGGGATTCTCTCTCAGCCTTTTCGCCCGGAGAAGAAATGCAACAGTTCAAAGGGCCAGAACCGCCCCTGAGGTCTACTGGGACAAAGGTAAGGCCCGGGGGTCACGTCTCATCTTCAGAACCATCACGAGCAATTTGCCACATCCGAAGCCTAAACGCCTCCCAAAACTCATCTTCATTAGGGGAAATAAGAGAGACTGAGCCGAAGGTACGCATCAGGGTACTTCAGCTTTGAGGATTAAAGTATACATGGGAAATTCAGTCCAAAAACTCAGCAGCAGCGGCCACTCAAGCTGTTGGAGCAGGCGAGAGAAGAGAAGGCACAGGCATGCTGGGTCGTGGGGCAGGAGGTCACCCGAGCGAGAGGAGGGGCACGTCCTGCGAGCAACCGCGGCTACGGCTGAGGCCCTTCCATGCGCGGCAGTCGGGAGGGGAGGGAGGCGCAGGGCTGTGGACAGGCAGCGATCTCCCACTCTGGACGCGTCTTGCGTTACTAGCAGAGGAAAACCCCCTCCACGTCCTTACGGGATGACCCTCCATGAAGTGGAACGGAGAGAGAACGCCCTGGCACCACCGGGCAGTGGGGAATGCATGCCCATGAGCCACGTGTGAGAGCCGTGCAAGGAGCGCTCTCGCCTGGGTGACTCCGCTCTTCGCCGGACCGCATGCGCAAGCGACTGCCGCTGGGAAACGGAGGAGCGCTGGCCACGCAAAAGCGCTCTGGGAGGCGCGGCGTGCGGCCTTACCTGCGGTATCTGGGGCGGAAGCGAGGGGCTGGGGCTCTCTCGCCAGCCTGGATCTGCTGTTGCTGGTCTCCCTCAGGTTGGGTGGCATCTTTGGGTTCTGTGCTGTCAGAGCCCTGGGGGAGAGCAGTGCTTTAGGCCCAGGCTGCCGCAGCCTCAAGCCAGAGGAGACGTGTCCGGGAGCGGAACAGGATGTGCCAGCCCCACAGGGGCTCCCTTCCAGGCAGGAGGGTGCGTGAGTGTGGCGCAGGGATCCTAAAATCCGTGATCTAAGGGGGGCTCGGCATGGCAGGAAAGGCAGGACGGCGCCCCGAGGCGCCTTGTGTGCCGGGGGAGTGAGCAAAGCTTCCGCCGCGGCTGCGAGCCGCTCAGGTCCTCGAGCCGGCTCTAGGGCAGACTCACTTCTGCTGGCTGGACCTGCTGCTGCTGGGGTGGCGCCCGGGGCCCCCGCACAAATCTCCGGCGGAAGAAGAACGGTGGGGGGCGCCTCCGTCGAGGGCGCTGCTGGACGGCGTCATCCGCTCTCTCCCCCTCGCTGACCAGCTCGGCAACCCCTTCTGTCCGGGGGGCATCCTGGGGCTGCTGGGCCTGCCGGGGCCTGGGGATGAACCTGCGGAAACGGCGGCGGTTGGGGGCATAGCGGCTGCCTTTCACGGGCACGCCGCCGGGGCCAGTCACGTTGGCCGCCTCGGCACCCTGCGGGAGACAAGCGGGGCTCGGGTCAGTGGGGCGCAGCCAGCAGAGTCCGCCCAGGGCTGCCACGCAAGGCCCCATCCGGGCTACCTTCTCTCCTTCCACCACATCGAACTCCACCGTTTCCCCGTCCCCAACACTACGGAGGAATTTACGGGGGTTGTTTCTCTTGATCGCCGTCTAAGGAAAGAGCAGAGAAGACACAATGACCCTTCAGCAAGATGGCCACGTTCACGCAGCTCTCGCGCTTCCACCGACTCCTCACATCAGAGCAGCGCAAAAGGGCGTGCCCGATCGCAAGCAAATACTCCGGCATCTGGGCTGCAGTACGTTCCACATGACCCATTTCCCTCTAAAATGGGGGCAGGGGGAGCAGTGCCGGCCCCTAGAGACAGCAAGAGGCAAGAGGCCATGCCAGCTGCACAAGGCCGACGAGTGACGGTGATCCGTAATATCACCAACTAGCCGAAATGGCCAAACTTCCCCACACAGCGCATGAACTAAGGGATCCACTACCACATGGGACAGTGAGGGCAGCCAACATGAGACTTCTCTGAAAGGTGATCAGGGAAGTCCCTGGAAGATAAGGCTGTCCATCTGAATACCAGTTGCAGGGACACATCAAAGAAATGCTGCCCCCCCCCCTTATCCTGCTTCTGGCCCTCCGGGGGCATCAGGTGGGCCACCAGGAGAAACGGGATGTTGAACTAGAAAGGTCTGGTTGGATTCAGTGGGGCTGTCTGTGGTTTTGCCCTCATTTAGCTACTGATTCAGGCTTTAAAAGCAGAACACTCTGGTCCATGTTCCACAGCTTACAGGGGTTCCAGGTTTCCAGTAACATGTCCTTCTGAGCCAAGATGCCATGGCACTCAACCTCAGACGCCTTCAGCTCAGGCTTCTAATTTAAATAAGCGCCCAGAACTTTCCTCACGTATATTTAACCAATTGTCCCTCTAGCTAAGGGGGGGCAGCTTCGCCCCCTTCAAGGCAGCTGGTTCTCTAGTGGGCACCTGACCACCCTCCCTCTGTAAACTTACGGCTTCCACAGCCTGGGATTGAGGACTGCAGCTGCTGCTCCAGGGTGGCATTCCAAAACTTTGGAGCACCTGAGGAATTCTGACACGGAAAAGAGCCTCCACCCAGCCCGCTGCCCCCAGCTCTGGCTCAGCCGCGCGCCCGATGCTGCCGTGCGGCAGAGAAAGCAGTGCGCTTGCCCGCAGGGTGCCTCTTACCTGGTGCACGAACACATCCTCCTTGGTATCGTTCCTGTAGGGAGGGAAGAGACAAAGCTTAGGGGCCTTCCAGGCTGGGGGGCGCGTGTGCCGGGATGCTCACTGCTCACACCGAATCAGATCGCTGGGGGGAGACGTAATGAAACCCAGACATTTGCAGAACCCCGAGTCTTAATCAAACCATGCCCCTCTCCCAAGAAGCATTTGACAATAGTCGGGGGTGGAACGACTAACTATTACTGGGGCTGGGCCACTTCTGCCCCCTCCCGCAATGAGAGTTGTGTCTTGGCTCGCGGCAAGCCTCCCACCTGCAGGCCAAGCTGGACTGGAACACTTCTCCGTTAACCTTCCCTGCCCGAGTCCCCCCTCGGCCCCATCTCGACTGCAACAGGCACGCAGCTAATCTCTGCTCGAAGATTACCTTGGCGGCCAGGTGAGAGGAGGCAATGCAGGCGGGGTTCTCGCCAGCCTGTTTACTGAGCAGGCGACTATGTACCAGTGGCAATGTGCGTTTCAGCTGCACTTTAGGAAGAGCTGGACATTGCAGGAGTTCATTCAAAACCGATCAGAGCAAGACCTCTAATTCCCGACTTGGGGACAGGGGCAGGTTGTGCAGAAGGCATGCCGGGCCCCCGCTGCGGCTGAGTGCTGCTGGCGCAGACACCTCCCCCTCCCCCTCCCCAGTGCCCACCAGAAGCGCACGGCCCCAGTCCCTCGCCAGAAAGCGACACCGCTGACACATGCGAATGGGGGCGTTCTGCAAGCACGACACATTCCTCCGGCACGCAGACACCCTGAGAGACCATCGCAGCATGAGTGCGGGTCAGATCCCAAGCCCCCGGCTGGCGTCGGAGAGCCCCCAGGTACACTTGTGTGTGTCGCCGGCTGCTTGCGCAGGCCGCACCAACACACATTCTCTCTGCCAGGTTAAGTCCAGCATGCAGAAACCACAGAACACCTCTTCTGTCCGCAGGGTCTCTGAGCAAATGAGCCAGAGATTCAGTGAAGGTTCTCCTGTGAGCACTCAGGTTTCAGCACATGAGTTTCTATTCCGGTACACAGAAAAGCCCGCTCAACTTCAGGCAAGGCTTCCACCGCGTCATCCTGGGTGGGGACCAAAGCATTTTTCTGCAAAAAGTTGGGCAGTCAGCTGACCAGTTGCCCTGGTTTCCAGGTAATCTTTGCTCTTCTGACTCAGCCACTTCTCTCTAGCAGGAAGTCAGGCACTGAAAAACAGATCTGCTTTGTAAATCTACATTCCTTTCAAGCTCAGCAGAGCTCGGTTCTTCCAAGTGCAAGGACTTGGTATCTGAGCATGTGCAGAGTGCATTTGGCCTTGCCAACACCAACTACAACCAGCACTCAAACCTGAGACTGAGGATGCAGCCTCTAGTGAAGCTTGGGTTCTTCACCTCTCATTCCCATCAGACTCATTAGCCAATCATCTAGCTAATATTAGTAATTCATTTGGTATTTTCTTCTTGTGAAAGGATCTAACTTGTATAATTTAGGAAGTTTAGGAAGATTCATGATTACAGCTTTCCAGTTCAACTCTGACATTTAAAGCTTCATGTTTTGTTGACTGCCTTCAGGCTGCCTAGACTGACAGAGAGCCATGAGTGGCAATCAAAGGTTATCCAAACAGCCTCACGACTGTTCCAAAACTTTCAGGAGGAAGAGAAGGGGAGGCTCACCTGTTTATAAATCCATAGCCATTGCGGACGTTGAACCATTTCACTGTGCCCTGCACCTGGGTGGCTGCAAAGCGTTCCCAAGGAAGAAAGAAGACGGGTGAATTGTCGAGAGGTGCACACACATTCTCGGCCCCCTCCCAGGAAGGCCCAGGCAGTCTAAGCCCCCCAGCTGCCGCAGCATCCCACCGCAGCCCTGGAGCAGTGCTTAGCCCAGGGGCAGAACACTGCTTCAGGAGCACCGGGGGCACAGGCAGCACCCCAGCACGGCCACAACCCGCATATCAGCCGAGTACTCGCTGCCACTCAGCCTGAGAAGAAAGAAACTGCACGACAGCCTGGGGACCACCAAGTGATTGGTGACTGGCAGAGACGGGCTGTGGCCAGGGAGCCAGCCTGGGGCTCCCAGGCCACTGAACTTGGCCCCTGGGCCTGGGCTTCTGCACCCCTGGTTTACGCCCAGATCAAGAGCCCCAAAACAGGCTGGCTGATCGTATTTGAACTTGAACCTAGCTGAGGGAGTCCCCTTTCCAGAGAGCTCATGGGGATACTGGAACTTGGCATGACATCAAGCCCCAGCTTCTCCTCTGGTGTTCAGAGAGGCCACTTGGGCTTCTCACTCAGTCAGGGAACTGGGGGGGGGGGTGCACTTCACTGGGTGGCCATGGCACATACCTGTACCTGCTTCAACAGCCAAGGGAACTTTGCGGGGCTTTTAGCCCTCTAGAGAGAAGCCAGCTCCGGCCTGAGCGCCACTCAGCAGCAAGCAGACCCAAAAGCTCCTTCAAGCCTGCGTGGGAGCTCAGGAGAAAGCAGCACCGCAGCAGGGGCTGAGTCCCGTGCTTGAAGAGGGGCTCCCTGGAGAGCAAGGGAGAGGGCAGCGCTCAAGGGCAGAGGATGAGCACTGCACACGGCAGGCTCGGGGTTCAACCCCGGCATTGTTAGCCAACGGGGCCAGGTAGCAAGTGACGGGAAATACCTTTCCCTGCCAAAGGAGGTAACACCGTGTGAGATGGACAGGGCGCCGGCCTTGCAGAACGCAATTCCTTATGTCCCCGAGGCAAACGGGGAGAAAAACCCCTTCGCCCAAGAAACTCCCAGTCCCTTGCATAACAGTCCTGCCCCTTCTTACGACTCACCTGCTCGCTCCCTAGCCCCCCACACCGCAAGCAGGTAATAACTGCAGCCTTGGCCTAGAGCAGGTGGAGAGGACCATCATCCCTGACCGCTGGCCAGACTGGCTGTAGCTGATGGGAGCGGCAATCCAAAGCTTTTGTGGGGCACCAGGCCAGGGACGGCTGCCTCGCCCCCCCCCCCCCCACCTGCACACTCATTATTCCCAAAACTAGAATAGTTGGCTGTGGCAACAGCTCCCACCACCCCGAATACTGGCCACTGGAGCAGCTGCATTGCTATTGCTAGAGTGGGGCTGCTTTTAAAACACGGGGGCATATTCACAACCCTTAAGACACATCCCACCCGTTACACCACAGATCGCCCTGAAAAGGAGCCTCTAGCTGGTCCAACGTGTTACAGAAGCCCTTTATTTTTCTGCAGGAACTCACTTTATTCCCTTTTTCTGCAAGTAACTCATCTTTTACCCGCCCAGCCCCAGCCCACGGCCGCTCCCCGAAAACCCTTCTTGCGTGCGGATCCCAGTTCTCTCCCTGAGCGGCTCCAGGCAGTGCAAAGATCGCGGCCGCCGCTCCGTTCCGCCCATCTCATCACGGGCTGCCGTCCTCGCCGCGGCGAGCGCTCCCATCATCCACAACGCCGACCCGGCGAGCGGCCCCGCCCCCGCCCCCCTCCGGGCAGGCCCCGCCCCTCACCTAAAATGCGCTTGGCCGCCTGGCTCCGGGCGACGCCGCCGCCGCCGCCGCCCGCGGGTGCCGCGGGCTTGGCCGCGGGGTCCCCCGCGGGGCTCTCCCCGGTGGCGGGCACGGCTCCGCCGCCGCTCTCCGCCTCGCTCAGCATCCCCGCCGCCGCCCGCCCGGCAGAGCAGTGCCGTCCGGTCCGTTGGCGCCGCCGCCGCTCGCTCGCTCGCTCCGCCTCGCCGCTGCTCCCGCGGCCGCCCAGCCCGCGCCTCGCGCCCCGGGACACACCCTCGCTCCGCGCGGCGCCAACGCCCAATCAGCAACGGCTGCTTTCCCCCCGCGCGCGCGCGCCTCCCACTCTGCCAATTAGCGACGGCCCCTGCCTACCGGCCGCTACCTTGGCTCTTATACCTTGGCGGCCACGCCCCGCGCGGCCCCCCGCCACGCCCCGCGCTCCCATTGGCCGCCGGGCCCGCTCAGGTGCGCCGCGGCCACGTGGGGCGCGAAGCCGCCGCCGCCGCTGGCGGCACGTGCGGCGCCTTTGGGGCGCGGGGCCCCTTGCGCGCCCGCGGCGCCACCCGCCCTTCCCGGGGCGGCGGGATCCGCCTTCCCCCCCCCGGCGGGCCGCGCTTGGCGCGCCTCGGCCCCGAGCGAAGGCTCCGTGCTCCCGGCGGTCCCGCTCCCCGGCCGAGAAGGGAAGCAGCGAGACTTGCTCTCGAGGAGACCCGCTGGGCTCGGCCCGTACAGCTCGTTCCCAGCGATCGCTTCAGATTCAGTAGGGGGGCTCAGTCCCCCCCCCCCCGCCCCGGTACTCGGAGGAGCTTTTCTTGCAGCCCCCTTAAAAACGAAACGAGCCGGCCCCTGGATCTCCTCCCTGCATAATATTTTGCGCGTCGTCATGGTTTACAGCTTGGGTCCGTGAACGCCTACAGCCTGTCTAGGAACCGATGTGCTTTATTGTTTGCATTCTTTATCTTTCATTAGGTGTGTATCTGACATGTTGCTGTATCTTTTCACAATCGCCAGTCATGCAGGTATTTGTGTTTACTGCAACGTTAGAGGCCCCAGTTGTGTTTGCCGAACTCCCTCTGTTTTCTTGTGCAGCTTTAGGGTATATATTTATAGCATATAGGAAAGGAAAAAGGGTGGGATTTGCATATTATGAATGAATAAAGCTTGCATATGGGACATGACCATTTATATATTTGTGAATGTGTATGAGGCATATGGAATCCATCTCCACTTTAGCAGGGTTGTACATTTGTGTCTATTTTTTTTGGAGAGACATGCCAGTACTTGAATGTGAGAGCTCAGTGCATGAGGAGGTGCGGTGCAGTGGTTTTAGCATGACTCCCCCAAAGTAAGGGTCAAGTCCGCCCTTCAGCTGTTTTACACTCTAGTCCTGTGCATCTCCCTGATCCGCCACCTGATTTCTTGGAAACTGCTTGCATGGGCTGTGTGGTTGTTTAGGCAAGTATTTCTGACTGTTTAGGTATAGCTTCAGCCACCTTTGAGATAGGTGAACTTATCTCTTTAGCCAGGAATGGAGGTTTTGTCACTGATGGTCCAAAGATCTCGCAAGTGGCAGCAGACGCAGGAGACACACACAACTGTTGCGTAGCATCCTGCCTGTAGCACATTGGAATGGGAACTCTGCATTGGCTCGTCTTCTGAACCTCTCTCTGCCAGGCCCGGAGGAAGTTTCTTTCAAAGCAGCGAACTGGGATGGGTCTCCTAATTTTTAATCTTGCGTTTCTCCTCAGTCAATCTCCCCCCACCCCCAATCTGTGCAGTTTAATCTCCTTTTTGGTTATCTAGGCTAGGTAAAAGTCCAAATGCCTTGTTTCCTGTGTAACCATTAACCAAAGAAGACAGACTGTTGTTTTGCCAGGAGCTGTGGAACCTATGAAAGGAGCACCTGGTCAATTCGGGACACCCCTTTGGATGCACTTCCTCTTCTTGGACAGGATAACAAAAAGTGATGCTTTGTCTGTCTCTCTAGCTCTTCTTTGCTTTGTCAGAGGAACTGTTTTAACTTGGAATTTGGCCTCCTTTATTTTAAGACAGCAGTACTTCAGGTGTGAAACCACCGGGCCTCTAGATGTTGATGGACATCAGCTCCCATCAGTCCCAGCCAGCATGATCAGTGGCAAAGATCTTAACTTCCCAAGGTGCCCTCTATATTCTTCAATACAAGTGCTCTGTATTCTTCTCTCAGATTTGCTCAGCCTCAGTGTTGCATCAGCAAAATGGGAAGAATACCCAAGTCTCAGCCTGTGATTTTGAGAGACTCCAGTTGCAAGTCTAATATGCTTCTGTGAATGTAAGTGAATAACATGTAACCAGAGAGCAAGAGGAAAGGTAGGGAGACATTAGACAGAGACATTCAAGCATTAAATATTTTCAAAGGTGCAGCCCTTTGTAAGTTTAGACCAGGAGAAGGCTTAGGCCCAGCAAGTTTCTCTGGGGACCATCATGATGTTGTGTGTCAGCAAATTGTGTGTCACTTTAAAGAAAGCAGCTAAGGAAACGCGAAAAGCCCTGCTCGATCAGGCCCAGCATCCATCCAATCCAGCAGTCGGCCCCCAAGGTGGCAAACCAGCTGCCTCCAGGATCTCGCCAGCGGGATGGGGACGAGGCCTCTGCCGGCCCAAGGACACACGCCGCCTCCGATGGCGCAACTCGCACGTAGCCAGCGGACTCTTCATTCCATCTGCCCTGAAACTCTGACCCAGCCGCTTTTCCAGACGAGGCCTTTTGATCTGCCGCTTCGCTGTGGCCTCTGCTTCCAGATTCTTCCTGGGATGGAGATGGGATCCTGTACCCATGGGCATTCCCGGTGGGGGTCCTTCTCTGCCTTTCTGTATATCCCATTGGTGGCACTGAGGTGCACTAGAACGGCCCAACCCCACCAAGTCTTATTCCGGCATACCTCGAAAGATCTGAGCTTGGAAAGCCCCGAAGAGGCGTGGGAAGGACCAAATCCTCTGATGCACCCACAAACTACCGTTACTTGGCCTCACAAATGCCGAGGACATGCCTTGTTCATCAGACGTTCCAGTGGGCTCCTCCTATACGAGAGGAGGAAAAATATCTTCCTATCCACTTTTTCCACTCCGTGAAAAATTTCACACACCTCTATTTATTTATTTAAAAAACTTCTATGCCGCCCCCATCGCAACAAAGCCTCGGGGCGGCTCACAACATAATTAAAACATATAAATTAATACAATTAAAAATTAAAAAAAACCCGGTATGTTTTTAGGTTAAAAAAACTCTAGCATGTCTCCTGTTACACACCTTCTTTTTTTTTTTTTGTCCTAGGATGAGGAGCCACAAACATTCCTCATGGGAACTTCCTCCAGCCCCTTGAATATTTGGGTTGCGCTTTCCAGCTCTGCAACATCCCTGTTGCAGCCCATTTCGGGTCTGGCTGTATCGCAGATGCTGAAGACTTATTTCCCCAGGAATTTTAGTTTTGGTCTGTACTGTACTGTGTTTTTCTGGTCCTTGTACCGCTGCTTCCCATTTATACTGTAGGTTTAAAAATTTCAATGTGCGCAGTGTGTTTTATGTTTGCAAAGTGCTGTGAACCACCCAGAGAACTTCAGCTGTTGGGTGGAATAGAAATGTAATAAATGAGAATCATTGGCACATCCTGTTTGTGGGTTTCATATTAGCATTTGGTTGGCCACTGTGGGAAACTCGCTAGACCTTTGGTCTGATTCATCATAACCCTTCTTCTGTTCTTATATGTTCACCTTGTTGAGGCAAATGACATGTGTGAGTACAAGAAAGAGGAAGGTGTCCCTTCAGTGCTAGCCAAGACCCGCCTCCTGGCATCCAGCAGCAAAGGAAGACCTGCTCCCATGTGCCTTTGCTAGGAAGATAAGAGAACAAGAAAGGTGCAAAACATTTCGGCTAGTCTTCGTTATAAATATTGAGAATGCACAGCTCTTCCGCCTCTGTAGGCCAATCACCTTATTTACACCTGGCCAATTGCCTACACCTTGCGCAGACGGACCCCTGGTGTCTGTCTGGGCACCCTACAGATTTAAAGTGTTACTGCAAAACTGCACATTCCAGTTGCAGTTAAATACAATTTTAATTATGATAAGGTAAACATACTCATAGCAACATAGGAAGAATAAGTTAAACAATCTAGAATTAAGAAATCAAATATCAAGGATAATATAATATACTCTGCAAATGCAGAGTTAAATGTCAAAACTTCCAGGTTTGGGGAAGTGGACTGGATAGCCAATGCACCACCTGCATCCCCAGCTAAGTGCTAGTAAAGGATAATTCATGATCTAGGGAGGACTTTAGAAAAGGCCCCCCAAAATAGTGCCATTGGCACTATAAATTCAATGTTATGTATTTATTTGTTTGTAAGCCGCCCCGAGGCTCTGGTGAATGGGGCAGCATATAAGTGTGCTAAATAAATAAATAAATAAATTATAAATAAATAATTGGACCAAGGCTTGTTTCCAATGCTTCTGGCAAGCACCAGGTTAGGGAACCCTGTATCTAGTTTATCATGTCAAACTGCAATTGTACGCTCGCTTACCTGGAAGTTAGTCCTACTGAACTCAATGGGGTTTACTTCTGAGTAGACTTGTATAGTATTGTTGTGCAATTCATATTCCTAACACCAAGAAGCAGGTTTGGTAGTTCTCAACAGATTTATCCAGGTGCTGCCATAGAGGGGGTTACCTGTCAGTTGCTAGGCAGAGATGCTACTCTGGGAATTCAGCTTGGCCAGAGTGTGTTTGGTAGGCAATGAGCAATGGGCTCGCTCCAGAATTCCTAGGAGCCACCTTTCCACAACTAGGTGCCCTCCAGATGGTTTGGACTGTGAGTCCCATCAGCCACAGCTAACATGGCTACAGGTGAGAGACTGTAGAAGTCTGTCTGTTCTTCCCAATTGCTGAAGTTGCATGGAAAGTTTACAACAGTATCCAGATAGGACCATGGTGTGGCTAAAATACTGTTTTTTCCTTCCATAATAAAATATTTTTAATTAGAAGTGTTTTGAAAAAGCAGATGTGGGTACACTGGTCAAGTCAGAGCGAACTTTAGATACCTTTAGATGTCTTGAGGCAGAGGGCTGGCCTAGCTTGGCTTGCAAGGGGGGCAAACTTGGCACCAGGCTGGGCTCAGTGGGGAGGCTGGAGGCCAACGCTGCAGTGCGGGTTGTTCTGACCCCAAAGATTAAATGTTGTGCAAACGACCAAGGAGTTTCCTCCTACCTCTCCGGATGATGAAGCTAAATGAGCTGAGAACTACCAGGCTTGCTATCCAGTGGCAACTTAAGTATCAGCCACGCCACAGTCCTACTCCAGTCTACTCAGGATTATGCCTTCTTACTGGGCGGCTTTTCAAAGAAATAGGCCGAAGACTGCCATATGAGCCGGGGTGCTTGCAGGCTTTCCCAACCTGGCGCCCCCACCCCCGGAGCATGGGGCCCCAGAATTCCCCGGGGCGGCTGGCTGGGGGATTCTGGGAGGTGGCGTCCAGCGCCCCTGGAGGGCGCCAGGTTGGGGAAATCTCCAAATAGTTTAGACCAATGAAACGAAAAGAGGCTTCGATGTGTGCCTGCCGTTGGGAAGCAGTTTCGATTACTTTCGGCTTTCGAACGGTTGCAGCCCGCGGTTGCCGTGGTAACCATGGCGGCCGCCACTCGGCTAAGATGGCCGCCGGCGACCGCGTGCGCGGAAAAGGTCTGGGCGGGACGCTCTACGCCGCCCCGTCGCACACTCTATGGTATGGGACCTGAGACCAAGGGGCGGGCGAAAAAAAAGTGGACCAGGTGCGCATGCGCATTCGGCGATCAATGAGTGATGGGGAGGTTGCTCAAAGGAGGCTCAGCGCATGCGCGTTGAGAAACCAATGGCCGCTGTGGGAATGGGAGGAGGCGCGGCGGCGGCAAAAGAACGCAGTCCTGTGCGCGTGCGTTCCGCCTAGGTGCAGGTAGTCGCCACGTGACGAAGCAGGATGTTTCCTACATGGTTCCCCCTCCCACTTCTGTACATGCGCACTGAGAAGCCATCCTGCCGGAGAGTCACCCCAGTGAGCATGCGTCTTGTCCTGCGGCCTACAGCGCGCACGCTCGGCGACGTCACCGGGCTCGGCGCAGGCGCCGTGCGAGCGCTGGAGGAAGTGGCACCTCCTCCTCTTCTTCCCCTCCCATTGCGGCCTCCTGGCTTTGGGTTGGGTTTCCTCGCAGTGCGCGTGCGGCGAAAGGGAAAGAGAACGAGAGAGAGAGAGAGAGAGCGAGCGAGCGCGCGAGAGAGAGCGCGCGCGCGTGCGGGCGAGCGAGGAGAGGAGAGGAGAGGAGAGGAGAGGAGAGGAGAGGAGGTGGGGGGGCAGGGCGAGGGGACGCGATAAGTGCGCGTGCGCACTGCGGGCTGGGTTGCAGCAGCGGCGGCGGCGGCGGCGGGCGGCGCGGCGGGCGGCGGTTGAGCTCGCGGGCGGGTGAGTGAGCGAGCGAGCGAGCGAGGCCGGCGGCGTGCGCGCGTGCGGCCCGTCGGGCCCGGAACCA